TTGCTTAAGGCTATATATAAATTATTTTAAGGTAAGATAAGATACACTCCTCTGCTCCTGAGGCGGTTATTATGTGGGCTTGACCACCTGCATGTGACATTGTAGTTGTTGCACTGCATCTACATGAGCCGTACGAAGGAAGAAGACGTAAGGTATTCGGTGAGAACTGAAACCCCCATGGGCAACTGATCAGTACAAATACAACGGCCACGTTCCTCTGCAGCAGCACCCCCTTGTGGACGCGCTGGAGAACGCCGAGAGACAAGAGGCCAGCAGAGGGCATCAGGACCCAACACCAAAGCCACAGGCGGACCAGCGGAAGAAAAAAAACCAAGAGGGGATGGGAAACAATTGAGCCATCGAGTTTAGAATGTAAAGCTTCGCCACATACATTGGCAGTGCTGGGCCTCGAGGGAAGGACCCGATCCATTTTTTTCGTGTCAACTAAATCACGAGGCGGCCTGAAATTCGTGATGTGCAATTTACAGCCTCAGATGGGGGTGACACGGGGAGATGGATGTGCTTTGTGAGGTTAAAGAGTGGCCCGGAGCTGCGCCGCGTCGAGTTTATTGACAGAAGCGGGACTTCAGCTCCGCGGAGCAGCAGAAAGCGTCCCGGTTTCTGCGACGAGCGGAGACTTAACTTCAAGCCAGGGCTGTCCGAGTCGGTAACCTCTCACTGTGGGTGTGACGACTAGTCACGTGCCACCTACTGAGGTATACCAGCAGCCCGAAAAACTAGTTTTCGCACATGGCACACCACACCACATCGCATTACGGCAGTGCCGGATTAAGCTCGTGCGGGGCCTGTAGCATATGCTGTAAAGGGGCCCTAAATAAAAAAAAAACCCGCATTAATATTAAAACACAAATTGTTAACTTGCATAGTAAAGCAATTTTATTTTTCATTTTGCTTTACAGCCAGATAATACGACAAATCGTTAACCTTAAACACCCAGTCGTTCATAAAAGTTGAAGGCGGTATAGTACTATAGTAATAGAGCAAGTGCAGAATCACTGAACCGAAATTGATAGCTTGAAAGCATTTAGCGCGGGGCCCTTGAAAGTGCGGGCCCGTAGCATCTGTAGCTACTTTTGCTACTAGGATAACACTATGTAACACATTTTTTGTTCCTGGGTAGTAAGTGTTATTTCGTAATTGCTTATGCCTAAAAAGTATAGAAAATGACTATTGTGGTAGTGTGACTTGGTGTCCCTGCTGTCCCAAAGGCAAAGATAGCAAGGGAAACTTGGTAAAACTGCCTTGGAGACCCATCAGGAAGTCTCCGATGACCTCCCAGCCATACTCATCATACTTTAAGGCGTCCAGCAAGGTCTTGGTGCTGTTGTAATCCTCTTTGAGGTGCACCGAGTGAGCCAGGGGAAGAGACGGTCACTTGTTAGCATTATGGAGCAGCACGGCTTTGAGGCTCCTGGATGAGCTGTCAATGAAGAGGCGTCACTCATTCTGGTTACAGGCGATTCCGATTGCCCCCAACAGACTGCTCACATTGTGGCAGAAGCAAAGCCCATCTTGACGGGTGAAGAAGCTGCAAAAAGGTTGGTGACGCTTCCTCTGATCTGCGATTTGCACACTTTCATCCAAGATCTCTGATCAAGTCGTTGAGGTCGTTTTGGTTGGAGTAGAATGGGTTTCTCTCCTCAGCTCCACCTCTGAAATTGTCATCTGGATCTACAACGTCTTCCTCGCTCTCTGACTTGCTGCTCTCTTCTAAAGACGGCTACTCTCTCTCCGGAGGAGTGGGTATGGAGAGCTCATGGCAGCGTGGCACCGGGGCGATGGATGAAGGAAGGTCCGGATACGTGATAGCAGGTGCATTCTTGTCAGTCCGACGTTTTGGAAGGGTCCACCATGCAGAAGTAGCAGTTGCTTGAGTGGTCAGTGGGTTCCTGCCAAATTATTGGGATAGTGAACTTCATGGCTCTCTTTTCCCCTCTTTACCATCCTACAAAAATACATTTATTTCATCCATGACTAATGTGCAAGAAATTCTCGCAACATTTTTCATATATGATATATTTTTTCAATTACATTGAAAATTGTAAAACATTTTTTTAATTATAAACTTTTACAATTTTAAAAATTGTAACACATTTTATAACATAAAATTCCGAGCAACAATTGTCCATCTTACCTTCCAGAGTTTTTTTGCATTGCTTGCAGGTGAAATGAGGTGTCCAGGGTTTCTCTTGATCTCCGACAGGCATGCCGAAATATGCCTTGTTGTAGGCCTCACACATCTTAGCAGATGCTCCCACAGAGTACTTTCTCGCTCTTGTCTTGATAAATTGGCCGCAGACATAGCAAAATGCGTCTGCCGGATGCTTGCAGCCTCTTGAAAATTGCAGATATGTAGCCACTTCGGCAGCTGTAACTAAACTGAACTGTTGGCCCCAGTATTTATACTACTATTTATATTCATGGAAAATCCTAGAATGTTCTTGAAGTTACTCCAAGTTTACTCAGCACTTAATCTATTTGGAATGTTCTGGAAAATTTCTAAATATCAATGTCCTGGTCACAAAAGCAAAGTTTGTGGGGAATAATAGGCATTCGCTGTACTTTTGAGGCATAAGCAATTAGGAAATAACACTTACCACCCAGGGACAAAAAAAATTGTTACACAGTGTAATCCGGCACTGCATTCCGGCTGTGGTGACTCGTCATGTGTCAAATGAGGATTACATCATGATGACGAGGATTCCAACTCCTCTCAAGTGCAGTTCTCCATCTTAAAGCAAGGCGCTATCCCACAATCACTTACATGGCAATGTACAGGTGTTAAGATGTCCATACACCAAATAGACATCTATTACAAGGCATCGTGTCTTCCAGCTCTGAGAATCATTGCTTATTATTATAATTATCATTTGATGAACAGTACTGGGTAGAGGCAGGTGGGGAATGTTGCCCCCTGCTGTGTAGAACAGAGGTCACTTAAAATTATTTCTTCGGTTACTCTGTGATATCCGATTCACAATGCGCTGGTCTATAACACGGACAGTTTTACCGCTCTACGAGAGATCTGAACGGATACTCCGTCGCACGGCAAGACGCCGACAGCGCTATCAGGATACAATTGGGGATATAAAAAAATTATTGTTGTCGCAAAAAAATTATTCTCATCTCACGAAGGAAGCGTCACACGCCTGTGTCATACACCTCAGGAAACCACAGATGAGACTGAACCTACATTTGTACAAGAGTTATTCGTCGCATTGGGTTGAATCATCATAACATCCTTTAGCCATTCTCACGATGATTGTATCTGCTGGAAGGATGCGGGGGCTTCACTCCATCAAACCCCAACGCAGTGCCCACACAATTACGCAGAGCAGCTTACAACCGTAAGATGTCAAAAACTACTTTTTCGTTATATGCATATTCTGCGAATAAACTGTACAATGCTTCTTTATCTTTTGAGTGGTTCATCATGCGTGCTGCACAAACAAGAAAAGCAGAACGTCATAGAACGAATCAGAGATCAAACATCAATTAAAGACATCACGTGGACTTGTGGAAAAGCTAAGAGGGTTTGGGCAGGACACGTCACGAGAAGGGATGATGGCCAAGGGTCGAGACTGACGATGGATTGGCAGCCTGAGGAGGCAACGTGCTCGAGATGGAGCTATGAGATGAGCTCGTGTGCTGGAGCAGGATGGATTCGTATACATCGCAGGCCCCTGCACGATGGGGATGCTTTGGAGCGACCTGCATTCAGCAGCGGATAGATCATGGCTGATGATATGATTCTTATTTTGAGAAATTATATGCAAATTTGCAATTCACTGCCGGTGTATTTAACATGCGGTTGTTGTCCGTGCTTTATTAATGATACAATGATTATCATGATGGTGGTGATTAAGACATGTGACACACATACATGATATGGTGTTTATGCTTCATACCGCAAGTGTTGCCCGAGTGCAATTTGGTGAGAAAGGGATTCAACCTTCAGTTGAGGACAAGGTGCGCAGGATGAGCGGAGGGAAATCTGGACAATTATTGAGGATAATTCTGGAAATTTGGTTGCCATGACACCGGCACATCGTAATCAAGTCTGGTTAACAATGATCATTATCGACATCCCACTGCTGGGATGAAGGCCTCCCCAAGCCGACACCATCTCGCACGGTCCCGTGATGCAACAATATATCAAGCGCCTACTGATGAGCTGATTTGCTAAAAATGTCATGTGTTTTTTTTCCTGTATCCATAATAACGCGTCCTCCGCAATGTCTTAAATTACAAACCTTTCTTTCAAGCGGCAATGCCCCCCCCCCACATCAGTTTCAGTTTCATTCATTAGGTATAGCCGTGTGAGCCATGAGGCTCTTGACTTGGGTGCAACCGCAACAAACAAAAACACGAACAAAGAGCAGCTTAAAGTGACGACGCGCAACAGACAAATCCAGGAAAAAAACCAGTAAAATCTTCCAGAAAAAAGCACCGTATATCAACGCTGTGTGCAATAATCCTAGTGGGATGCAAGTCGAACAATAACAACCATAAGACAATTTAGATAAAGTGATCAACCCGCATTGACCTAGCATGGCGAAACACAGTCAACACACACCTGACTGCTACAGCTAACGAGACCCGACAAGTTGAAACCCATTGCAGAGTTTGCTCACTAAAACAAATGCTTCTGCTTAACACAAGTCTGGAAGATCAATGAGCCAATCATCATCATAATCGGCCATGAGCAATCCACTGGTCAATGAAGGTATCTGCAAGCTGGAGGGACTAACATCTTCTACCATGTGGACATACGTAACAAAATGCAGGTGTATTTATTTGTTTATTATCAATTATTCCTGTTATATCTACCCATGCCCTCTTGCTGCTGTCGATATCCGTGACGCGCGGCGTGCGCGCGCGTGCTGATCGAGGGCGGCGCCGTCCATCGCTCGGAGCCGACAGCGAGCTCGAGGGCGATCTCTTCCTCCTCCTCCCTCCTCCTCATCCTCATCCTCCATCTCTCAGCCACTGCACGGCACAGCGGGGTCACCGGATCGGCAGCAGCCAGGCAACTTAACAGCCGTCGTAATCCATTAGCGGCGAATGTCTCGAGTCGCGGGAGGTATTTCGTTTTTTTTTGCTCGGGAGCATCTCGCTCAGGATGATAGGCCAGTCAGTCGCTTTTTTTTTGCGTAGGTTGTAACAGCTTGGCGTTACGCGGTGACGAAATAGCGCACTGCGCTACGAACCCGGTGCCTCGAGTACGATTCCCCGGCTCGCATCATTGGCGAGTGACATTTGAAGCAGTCCTATCCCTCCTCTCCATCAACCTGCATTGATCAGCGAGGTAAAATATTGCTACACACCACCAGCCTCGCAACCGACATGTGGCGTGGGGGGTTGGGAAGCCTCTGTCCAGCAGTGGATTTACAAAGGGTTGTAAATTATTAATATTATTATTCCACTATATATGTGTGTGTGTGTGTGCGCGCGGCTCGTTGAAGCGTTTTCCATTCTCGCTCCCGTACCCTTTGATGCGAACGCCACCCAAAGCTGCTCAAACGACCTCCCCGTGACCCTGAGGCCTCCAGAGTTAATAGCGTCATTAGTCTTGGCAAAATCGGGCTGAATTGGCCCGCGAATTGCCCACGCGGGCGACTAAAGAGCATGAAATGACACCCGGTAATCAAATTTGTTCAGGTCGGACGCAGGAGTGGGAGCGAGGGGCGCAATTTCACGGGCAGATTCACGCTGCACGGCTACGTTAAATGTCAGGGCAGCATAAGCCGGACTTATTTTATAAACAAGTCGATGGTGTTTTTACAAGTCTGGCGGCAGTTCTTTTTTTTAAGGGCTGTTAGCTAGGTATAGCCAGGGAATCTGTGGGTTGCGGAGGCTGAGTAGAGGCTAGATGTTACATACACATACCTGTGGGAAATGTCAAAGACTCGTTAGTACATGTGGCATACATTCATGCCAGACTTCCATTACTGCAATATCCCAACACAGGATCATCCTGAAAAAATGTACCTAACTATGGCTCCTCTGGATACAGGTCACTATGACTGAGATTAGATAAAAGGTTCGTGAAAATTTTATGAAAATAAGAAGTGACGCTTAATCCACAACTCAACATACCTGGGTTCTGATGATGACTTAAGATGAACACGATGTCACACAAAGGTTCGAGGATTTGCTCCGAAAGTCAAACACCGAGTGGCCGATGCTGAGATTCTAGGTTTGAATCTGGGTTATAGCAACCCATGATTATACCAGGCTGGGCAACCACACGATTTGTAAAACTCCTAAAACACACTGGGTTTGCGAGGAGACGAAAACATGACAGCACAGGAAATTTATTTGTGAACCTGTCTGTGCGGACCTTGGAGCATAACTCCCCCGTATGCCTGTCTTTTTCTTATAGTATTCCCGTTTCTTCCCACAGGGAATAAAACATTCCCGCAAAATGAATTTGCAAAGCATGTTAATGCATGCAGGCCTGTGTGGTAGGCAACAGAGGCGAACCAAAACATAATTATTGTGCTGTACTCTTATCATCCTGCATGGTCCTCCCCGCCAACCTGCACTGACTAACCTGGTGAAGTATGGCCGATACGACGTGGGAAGGGCTCCATGCAGCAGTTGATTAACAAAGAACTGTACGTGTAGGTTACTAAGAAAAAAGTTCTGATAGACTCAGGAAGGCTTTCCCGGATAAATAAATTACATTATTATTTTATTGCGGTGGGGCGCATCCCTGGAAGCCTAGCTACCCACACACATAAAACCGCACACACTTGTAGCCGCGTGCAACCCTTATGAGGCCACGGGGGTCCTATAAGTTTTGCAGAGTGCCCCCCACACCAAGCATCCGTCTCATCTCAGGACCCCCCCCCCAGCAGAGGCAAGGTCTGAACACCTACCCTCTCATCCTCCACACATCTATTCCTCCCAGCACCCACGCAGGCGGTCCAGTCACAGTCCCTTTATAATGCAAAGACAAACTGCCGGCACTTGAAAAAGTCTACCCCTGAAAAACAAGACGTCTGCTGCAACCCTTTGGCAATCCACAGCCGACGAAGGTCTCCCGGGCCTGTTGTCGGTCGGTCACGGTAGATGTTTTACCAAATTTCACGTTGCTGGTCAGTGCAGGTTGATCAACGGAGAGCGCCCTGGACTGGTTCAGATATCATTCACCGCTGATGTTCACGCCGTTAACGGACAGCTCAAAATGTATTCAGACTGCCCGATAATTAATCTAGACCGCCTGAAAATGTCACACGGACCGGCTGACAATTCTGGCAGTCGCCATTCAGACTGCCTAATAATCTGAGCCGTCAATCTGAAATATTTTAATCATCTCTCAACCCATGAATCTTTATTTTGTTGAAAGAGTACATCACCTGATGAAGAGCAATGAGGTGGCTTCTCCGCTACAGGCGCTATACCACAACTAATGCGTGTGACTGGCAGTGGGTGGGTCGTCGCGACCTCTATGACATCCTATCACGCGCAGCTGATCATGCAACCTGGTGCACAACTGCCCAAGTCAGTACTGAACTGGTCAATAAATAACCAGGTGGCGTGGCTCAGACCACCGTTGGGCCTCTTCAAAGTTAGTGCTGGTCTGATTCCGTGGCACACTCCAATGGCCAGGCGAAGAACCAGGTCTGCTGCTACCCGATCATTCGTCCCGAGGAACGAGTGACAACTACTCACAATCACAGTTCCAACGTCGGGAGGTGCTGCCCGCTTTGCCGTCGTTTCAATCACGATACGCACAAACCATCGCCATCCGAGGAATAATCGCTGACAACGCGCGTGGAAAGCGTGGAAGCTATCCAGTCTGTAGAGCATGAGCACGGCACGACAATATTTCATTATTACACTTCAACTGGCGTTTAATTGGCATTCGACGCAGGTGTGTGTTTGTGTAAACCAAGTTAAATTCCCCAACTGCGGATAACAACACTGGCTAATTGGGGATCAGGACGTGTCCTGGGCCTCCCCTCGGTTGAGTCAGCCTTAAGCGAGTACCTGATGCGTGGATCGCTGTGTGGGTGTGCGTTTTCAAAAAAGATATATTTGGTTCATGTAGTGTCGCGGTTATGGCGAAACCCACGATAATTATAGCAACTACGTTTGTATTAAAACGTCACGAGCATTCGGTTGGGAAAATCAGTGAGTGTCGTCTGTAGGGCGACTCGGTTGGAAAAATGAGCTCCCGGTGCGATGTCGCGAGTAGTGAGCCAGCACTCTCCACGGGGGAGACATCGTCAGCAAGGCACGGCGTGCTGTCGTTCCTAATAGGTGCTCGCACACGGCGTTCACTCTTGCCTACGACCGGGCCTAGAGAGGGTCACCGTTCCTAATTTGTGAGTGCCCACGCTTCACGTCTCCGGCTATATTTCTAATGCAGCGTTCACTTACGGCACTGCCTGCTTTGTGTCATTGAATGCGCCATTGAACGTTATAAGCGCCTTGCATAATAGACACGCGGCTGCACAATGTAGCCATTTGCATAGTTTACTCACTCAAAAGTGTGTGACAGCATTTTTTTGCAGCTGCTGCGTTGACATTTTCCCGTAGGTTTATGGAGAAAACAGCGAGCGGATTGAAAATTTGAGTGGGAATTGCAAATGAAATGCGGCCAGTGTCTTTTCGTCCACCGCCCAGCATGGTCAAAAAACAAAAAAACATTAAAACACGGCTCGTCTCACTCATCACGTCTCACCTTCCTTTCTTTCCAGAGACGTGAACTGTCCTACGCTGTAGCGAACACGTTGGACAAGGTCAGAGTACCCACACTTTACCCCGCCACGGGTAATGTCGCCGAACAGATTTGTTTCCGAGAAACATAACTTATTTAATGCTGCATTGGTCATCGACATCGGATGAAGAAAATTGGCCAATAAGCTTCGACTGCCATCACCAGAAAATTAACCCGGTACTTTTCAAGTCAGGTGCGTCGATTACAATCACTGCCCTTCACAAAATGGCTCTAGGGGAAAGGGACCAGACTAGATGGAATAAGTGAGATTGTATAAAAAGCAGGGTCACCTGTCAGATGTACGTATGTATGTTGAACTTCTGTCGCACCAATACATAGCCCATCGGAGGTGCGGAATCACAATTCGTGGAACTCTTTGCTAAATATAAACACAGAACTTAAACAGCTAAATCGGGGAATGTTGCCTACATCATTCTCCATTTCTAAGACGGAAGAGAAAACAAATTAGAATAATTACAGACCCGTTAGCTTCCTATCACATGTATGCTGTATAACCTTTTCGCGAAGACAGCGAGCTGGTATTAGAAAAAGGTTGTTGTCAACTCTGGCCACTCTTAATCATATTCTAGCAAAGATAAATGAATATCAGAAACCATCATGCCTGGCTTTTGTATTCCACCAAAAGGCATGCGATTCAGTGGTAACTTATCCAGTCACCAGAGGTCTCACAAACCGACAAACCGAGGCCTATACACAACCACACATACGTGGTTGTGTATAGGCAGCATATTAACGCCAACTGCCACGACAGAGATAATATCTAAAAGGTCCGACTGTCATCACCTAGAAACCGGTTTTGTCAAACCGGCTTTTTTCAGGTCAGGTGTTCTAACAGCGCCACATTTCACCACCGCAGTCGTTTCTCATCTTTACAGCATTTTGATTGAATTCGCTAGGTTAATTAATTATACAAATAAAACATTGCACATTATACCCCCAGTTCAACGGTCTATTTTTTAAATTTTAGTTTAAAAAAGGGCCGTCGGTTATTTAATTATAAAAAACCCCACTGTTGAATGATGTCCTCCCCCATGCCGTGTTTTTAACCTCGTGCCGTTTATCAATAATAAATCAAAATCAGCACTCTAATCCTCAACACTAGCCATTGGCTGGAACATCATCCTATGGTGCATTTGTTGTATTATAAGGCAGTGTTGATGACTCTTGTTTGTGAGCCACCGCCAACTCAGTGCCTTGATGTATGCATACCAATTATTTTGTTGCAGCGGAGCGGTGACGTGGTAATTAACATACTGGGCTATAAATCCTGCGACCATGATTTCGATTCCTGGCCACGACTAACATCAGTGGCGAAGTGACATCTGAACCTTTCCTGCCGACCACCCCCCATCCACCCCCAACTTCACCAACCCGCACTGAGCAGCTTGATGAAATATTGTCAAACGATCCCCATGATCAACGTGGCTTGGCGAGGCTTTCATCCAGCAGTGTAAATAATTAATCTAACTATCCACAACGCGCCGCTATAGCGCGCACTCGTTTTTGCCCAACAGATAATAACTACCTTCCCTTACATGTCACGCACAATTAACATGCCATTGTCCGGCAAATTTGCAGGCTCGCTTTGCCCTCTGGTGGGCTTATCAAGTTTGCGGCCAATTTACCAGAGCGGCAATTTGCACACCATTTAGATGCAAATGCGAGACCTTTAACTGCGCAAGTTCCCGTCAGTGGAAGTCGCCCAAGACATTGGAGCGAAGAAACCGCAGCTCCGCAAGGCTTCGTGGAGAAGTAATGCTGCGACGCAACAACAAAAAAAACATAATCTCGCGCTGCATCGGACTTGAGCGTCGACGGGTGACAGCGATGGAGAACGGGCATCAAGAGCGATGTACCCCGCTCGCTCTGCACACAGCGTAGCGTTGCTATGGATCTGTCATTTTGTCATCGCGTAAAATAGAACGGGGCTCGTAACGGTTTGTTTCGTACAATTCAATGACGGTTCTCTCTCTCTCTCTCTGGCGCATGCACTTTTCTCCCTTTTCGTTTCCGAGAGGTGCTGTTCTCCCTGTCATTGGTCTTCATCGATGACGACGATAATGGTGGTGATGGTGGTGCTGGTAGTGTTAGTGAATGTGATGCTGAAGATAAAGGCGGCCGGTGGTTGAGATGATGATTCTCACGTCGTGAGAATATTATTGTGTTATTTTATTTTATCAATTTATTATTTTATTATCATTCTACGTGACTTTACCGAAAGAACCAAAGAAGATGATGATAAGAATTGTGATGGTGGTGGTGGAGCAACTGGTTATGGTGTAATGATCATGGTAATGGTGGTAGTGTTGATATATATGAAGGTGGTGATGGTAATTATTGTGACAATAATGATAATGATGGATGTAGTACTGCATTGATAGTTGCGTTTTTAGCGATAATGATGTGACTTTACCGGAAGACCCAAATAATATGAATTTCTGCAGTCATGAATGCTTTAAGTCAAGACTACCATGTTATTTGTGAAATACAGATTTTCACGTGTGAAGAAGTCGAACGAATCACCTGCGATTTCTATTTGCGAACGTTTGTTCATCAGGCGGGTTTTGGTCATTCACAGGGCTTCGTTTCTGCCGTAACAGGTACATTGGATGCTCATTTATGACAGGGGGGGGGGTAGAAATGAGAGAATGGGGAGAGCAGGGAGCAGGAAGAATGACGATCGTTTACTCTCCTTAGCAGCATGCGCTTTCATGAGCCATGATTCCAAACGCATTAAGCAAACGGCTTGTTTGAAATTCCAAATCAGGCCACAGGGCTGCCTTACGTATGCCATCACCCATGCTTTGAAAAGAAGATGAATGTCGCGGTCAGGGATATGGCCGTGGGAGTCCAACGAAGGAACAGGAAATGTCCAACCTCAAAACCTGGCCACGTTAGCGAAGGTGAGCGCAGTGTGAATCACCTAGGCAGAGGGAGAACTGTAAAACCATCTACTCTGGCTCTCTCTTGAGAAGGAGAGTTCTAGTCTCCATGGGACCTCACACCTACCGACCTACTTCATTTCGTCCAGTGAAATATTTCCAATTGAAGGAATTATTTTTTGTCACTAAAAGCAACAACTAAAATATTACTTGACATTATATGGGTCTTTCGGTAAAGTCACGTAGATACAGTGAGGGAAAAAAGTATTTGATCCCATGCTGATTTTGTACGTTTGCCCACTGACAAAGAAATGATCAGTCTATAATTTTTATGGTAGGGTTATTTGAACAGTGAGAGACAGAATAACAACAAAAAAATCCAGAAAAACGCATGACAAAAATGTTATAAATTGATTTGCATTTTAATGAGGGAAATAAGTATTTGACCCCTCTGCAAAACATGACTTAGTACGTGGTGGCAAAACCCTTGTTTCTGAATGATTCAGAGGACAACTGGGTGAAAGTGTTGTGGTCAGATGAGACCAAAATGGAGCTCTTTGGCATCAACTCAACTCGCCGTGTTTGGAGGAGGAGGAATGCTGCCTATGACCCCAAGAACACCATCCCCACCGTCAAACATGGAGGTGGAAACATTATGCTTTGGGGGTGTTTTCTGCTAAGGGGACAGGACAACTTCACCGCATCAAAGGGACGATGGACGGGACCATGTACCGTCAAATCTTGGGTGAGAACCTCCTTCCCTCAGCCAGGGCATTGAAAATGGGTCGTGGATGGGTATTCCAGCATGACAATGACCCAAAACACACGGCCAAAGCAACAAAGGAGTCGTTCAAGAAGAAGCACATTAAGGTCCTGGAGTGGCCTAGCCAGTCTCCAGACCTTAATCCCATAGAAAATCTGTGGAGGGAGCTGAAGGTTCGAGTTGCTAAACGTCAGCCTCGAAACCTTAATAACTTGGAGAAGATCTGCAAAGAGGAGTGGGACAAAATCCCTCCTGAGATGTGTGCAAACCTGGTGGCCAACTACAAGAAACGTCTGACCTCTGTGATTGCCTTCACGGCGTAGTGTGTTACCAATTGTTCTCTTGGTGACTATGGTCCCAGCTGCCTTGAGATCACTGACAAGATCCTTCCGTGTAGTTCTGGGCTGATTCATCACCGTTCTCATGATCATTGCAACTCCACGAGGTGAGATCTTGCATAAAGCCCCAGGCCGAGGGAGATTGACAGTTATTTTGTGTTTCTTCCATTTGCGAATAATCGTACCAACTGTTGTCACCTTTTACATTATGAGACCTCCTTTGCCAGTAACAAGATATAGGAATATATCTTGGAATAGGTTTTACAAAAAAAACAACTCTGATAATAATATGCACTGTCCTTGAATTTGATTGGTCCACACCCGAGACGGCTTTTCTTAGAGCCTAGTCTCCATTGGTGTTGGACCAATCAAATTCAAGGACAGTGCATATTATTATCAGAGTTGTCTTTTTTGTTTGTCTTTTGACTGCTTGTGTTGTGGTTATTGCAAACATGATGCCTTGAATAAAGGTGTCAGTTTTTGTGCCAGTTAAAAGGGTAAAACCTATTCTTATATGTTGTCACCTTCTCACCAAGCTGCTTGACAATGGTCTTGTAGCCCATTCCAGCCTTGTGTAGGTCTACAATCTTGTCCCTGACATCCTTGGGGAGCTCTTTGGTCTTGGCCATGGTGGAGAGTTTGGAATCTGATTGATTGATTGCTTCTGTGGACAGGTGTCTTTTATACAGGTAACACGCTGAGATTAGGAGCACTCCCTTTAAGAGTGTGCTTCTAATCTCAGCTCGTTACCTGTATAAAAGACACCTGGGAGCCAGAAATATTTCTGATTGAGAGGGGGTCAAATACTTATTTCCCTCATTAAAATGCAAATAAATTTATAACATTTTTGACATGCGTTTTTCTGGATTTTTTTGTTGTTATTCTGTGTCTCACTGTTCCAATAAACCTACCATTAAAATTATAGACTGATCATTTCTTCGTCAGTGGGCAAACGTACGAAATCAGCAGGGGATCAAATACTTTTTTCCCTCACTGTAGGTTCAAAGAAAATAACAAACAAATGTTCGTGTCATTTTCTTTGAACCTATCTACGTGACTTTAAAATAAATTGATATTTTATTTGAACCTATCGACGTGACTTTACCGAAAGACCCATATAATATGAATTCCTGTAGTCACGAAAGCTTTAAGTCAAGATTTATTACTTGACATGTTGGTCACTTGCCTT